CCCCCGCCTCGTCGCCCGACCTCACTCTCGCGACTTGCACCACGCTTTACCGCACCACGTCCAGTAGCACTCTTCGCGACGAAGACCCTGTTCAAGCCGAACAAACGAATACAGCCGCACAGGCGTGCACAGCAAACGTAAATGTGACCACGTGGAGGAAACGCAGTGATCAACCAAGCACTGCTTTACAATACGCCGCCATGCATACATGCATCGTCATCCATCAATCGTTGCGTGCATGCTTTGCATATGAGGAGTAAGTCGGGATATTCCCCGGCATTTTGAATGCCGAGAATTTATCGCACATGCAACTGCGCGCATGCATTAAGCTCACAAACCTTTTGCGCGCAGTTGATTTTTTTTTTAAATTAATCTGAACTAACTCGGGCTTTGCTATACGTAGCGCTGTCCAGAGTTACGTCACTTTCCGGGCTGTACATAATTGGAACATTCACCACGCCTTACCAGCCGCATCCAAATGATCCATTGCGAGTTGAACTGAGGTGACAGGTGCACTGCTTGCTTCAGCTCTACTTCAAATTCCTCGGAACAGAACGCTCCGCTGTACAGATTGTATATCACAATATACAGAGCTTTGCAAAGCATCGCGGCTGGATGGAGGATGATGCCATCTGCACAGCAAGCGACGTCATACTCCTCGGAAAGACTTGGCAATGCACCCAGATGGAATCAATATCAGCGTTACAAGACTGTTGCACGTGATGACTGCATGGAATCGGCGAAAAGAGCATGCTGCTTGGTATCGCAGCGACTGCTGAGTGATGTCCGCGACCCAGCCTCCATAAGAATTGGAGAAAATGAGGACCGGGTAGATGCAGCTGTTTTAAAACTATGCAGTGTGCTCATTGCAGGAGGGTACGCAAGTTCCGGAGTAAAAATCGGTACCATTCGGTTGTTTCTAGCGAGATGTCCTGCGGAAGAGGGACGGAAACTAATACTGGGTGATTTTATTCACAGCATTGCTAAAACAGCAAGTCCCGTTTTATGGAAACGGTGAAAGAATTTGGGCTAAAAATTTGGAATGTAAATGTGCCCACTACCAGTGCAAATACAATCATTGATTTGGTTGTGAGCAATTTCAATATAAGTCACGGCACACACGTCTCTCTGGCTAGCTTTCATGAGCCCATCTGGGCCAGATATGACGCATAAAATGATTAAAGTATAGATCTGCTCTATCACGGCAGCAACAAAACAGCAATCGCAACCGGCAGCCAAGATCGGATTCTCACGATTCGTAGCGGAAGAACATAAATACTCATTGGGCAACCACTACACGTACTCATCACATCAGATGAAGCCATCTTTATGATAATTTGAATTTGCAGTGACCAGTAACGCAGATAATGCGCATGTGATCTAATAATGATGTTTAAGGAAAAAATGAAATAAATAAAAGATACTCAGTAAAGCCAACGCGAATACGAATCGTATTAAAGCAACACTAAAAATTCGCAAGGAACTGTGCAAAAACGCATGATCGCACAGAATCGCCTGGTGCGTTCCAGCCTGGGTTTTTTAAATTTGATGGTCATGTGGTTGCGATATTTGATATTGCACTCGTGTTTTAACCGTATGTTTTTATGCGGTTTATGCTGTGTAACAGCACTACAAAACGTATATTGTCACGGGTTTGTCTGTGTTTTTGTGTGTGTATATGCGTGTGTGTTTGTGGGTGGGTGGGTGGGTGTGTTTGTGTGTGGGTGGGTGTGTTTGTGTGTGGGTGGGTGGGTGGGTGTGTGTGTCCACATTTTGTCCCGCATTTTCAATTCGGGAACCACAAAAGCTAGGCGGCTGAAATTTTAGTATAGTGTTCCCTGCCAGCGGGCGAAGCGGCAAATTCAGCCTTCCCGTACCCACGGGTAACACGTACGGCCCCGTAAAATTTTTTCGGGTAAATCAGTATCTCGGGAACCACGGAAGATAGAAGGCTGAAATTTTGCGGGCATGTCCCCCGCCCATGTGCTACTTAGAAAATTTAAATTCAGCTTTCTACTGCTCTCAGATAACAAGTACGGCCCTGTGAAAATTTTTTACAGGTGAATTATTTTCTCGAGAACCACGGAGTCTAGGAGTCTGAAATTTTAGGGTAATGATGCTCACGCTCAACCTTGCCTATTCAAATTCAGCGTTCCCGCGCTCTTGGATACCACCTACGGGCTAGTGAAAGTTTTCGCGGGTAAATTATCTCGGGGACCACAAAGTCTACAAAGCTGAAATTTTAGAGTAGTGATGTCCTGTCCACGCTCAACCCTCCCTGTTCAAATTCAACGTTCCCGCGTCCTTGAGCATCACCTACGGCCTCGTGAAAATTTTGGCGGGAAACTATTAATTCGGGAATCACGGAAAGGTATTCATCTTTCAAGGTTTCGAATTCAGCCTTCATGCGCAGGTGCGTGAAACTCCTAACTATTTTTCAGTGTTTCAACTGTTTTTGCATAGACTAAAGTACAGAGCAGTGAAAACCATTGATAGGCAATCGTCCGACGAGCTGAATTGCACAAAACGTATGATCGCACCGGCTAGTCTGGTGCGCGTTGCTATTTATTGTGATTGTTTCCAGGTCGATTTTAACAGCCGATGAAAGGCATACCGTTTTCGAACATCCAGTAGCAGTTGCAACGAGAAGTATTGGTCGTGCATTGGACACAAAACAGATTCTTGCGTCCGGAAATTGTAAGTTAGTTTGTCTTCCGCATACCTTTTTGTATTTTGGACAGTCATTTGGATTCCAGTTAATAGCGTGTGAGCATAATCATCATTTCTTCCTCATTTTTAGTATGAAGGAATGGGATTTTGGTGGGGAAGACTTCTCAGCCATTTTTCGCGGTGATTTGTAAACCGGCTGGTGGCGTACGAATATCTGGTTTTAGCTTTCTGTCTGACTGCGGACTCGTCCTCGAACTGTCAGAGCTGGGCGAAAGAGTTAGGAGGATGAGCAGGGAGAAGGGGGACAGGGGAGAAGAAAGGGTGGGAAGAGGGAGGTGGGAGAATGCAGAAGTGTCGAACATGAAGACACGTGGCTTCTTGCATTTGGAGTTATAAAAAAAAATCATGCGCGTTAAAGCCACAGCGAACTTAAATGTAGTACCGCTCATTTTAACGTTAATGCAAGTGAGGAAAGGAGAAATGAATTATGAATTTGTTAAAAAGTATTAAGGTCGATGTTTACTTAGACTCGACCAACCGCGGAAATCTAGTTGGTGTGTGTATATGTATGTGTGTGTGTGTGTGTGTGTGTGGTTGTGTGTGAGTTTGTGTGTGTGTTTGTGTGTGAGTTTGCGTATGCGTGTTTGTCAATGTGTATGTGCTTAAAAACAGCTAAATTACAAAGATTGTTTTCTTATGACGCATAAAATCATTAAATTGTGATCGAAAAATAATTTCATAAAAGCGCTTATTATGCATTTGTCTAGAAATTGTCTAGAATCTGTTGTCTAGGAATTTGCGATTATCGTACGATTATCGTTTGGCTTCATGAGTACCAAAAATAAACACACTGAAAACAATTGTGGCCGTAATTATTCAGAACAAGTGTGGGGAGAGGGAAACAGACACGAGCGTCACACTATGTGTCACGACCAGGGCCTGACAGTGATCGTGGTTACTGAATAATTTTGATTTTTGATGCGATCCTAGTACACTTTGAATGGCGCTCATTTTAGCGGGCTCGCCGCCACAGACGTCACCGGTATTTGCAAAAAGCTGCTCACTTTTTGACAGTTCTGCATCGGAATCATTTACAAGCAGTCAGCCAAAGCTTGCTGCTGCATCAGTGCGTCCTCCGGATCCAGCATTCCAGCAAGCTGCCAGTAATACTAACAAGACATCTACAGATGTTAGTGTTACGCATGTACGTTTAAGCGCTCGCATTTTTTATTTTTTCCCACAGGATTTTGGGAAAATAAACCAACAGCGGCGCGCAGTAGAGTTGCTGCTGCGATCACTGCAAACTAGACTTTCATTTTCGCGCATGCGTGATTTAAAGCTTAATTTGAAAAATTTTGGCCGCATATGAGCATAGGACATTCTTGTAAAATTTCAGCTTTCTAATTTAAGTGGTTGGCGAAGTCGCAAGTTCCAAATATCTTTGACGAGTCCGAATGCGCCATACAGGCGTGCACCAAAACATGCTTTACGCCCGCATGCCTACGTATGGATAACAGATATTCTTTTAAAGATAAGACACCCAGTTCAGTCTGATTCCTGAGTTGATTTTTACCAATAGTGACTTGATATCAGCATCGACCTGTCCGAACGCTTGACACAGGCTTGTGTAATGGCTAAATTTGAAATGCATAGAGAATATTCGCTTGAAGTTTCAGCTTCCTATCCTGTCTGACCCCAGAAACTTTCTTCCAGCCAAGAAATTTGCAAGCAGGTCGTACGTGAGACCCACACGTATGTGAATTTTGATTTCAAGCTGTTCAGGCTGCACTTTGATTAGGGACATCTTTGTAAAATTCGAACTTCCTGAGTTCTGCGGTTGATGAATTGAATATGAGTGAAAAAAAAGACCCGTAAACACACACACGCACATACTGACAATTTCTTGACAATAGGTGTTTTTGTATTTGCATAAAAATGCAAAAACGTATAAAAGTGAAGTTATTGCCTACACTAGGACGCGTTTTTTGCCCAAGTAAGCAGTTAGCTTCTTAAAGCCAACTTTACTGTTTACTGCCGAGCATTAAGATGCTGGTCAAATAAATTAGTTTCAGCTTAATAAACACTCGATTTTTCAGGCACAACTGGGCGAGGGTGAAAGGACGCCATTGTTTGGTGTAGCACCAGCTTGGTGGGGCGAAAGCAGCAGATGCAACCAGCAAGTGCAGAGTGATACGGAAAGCGCACGGTAATTGATTTTTATCCGGGATAATTTTGGCTTTGACGCCTTAGTCGACGGAATCGGTAATGTCTGCATGATCTGATTAGTGATGAGTCAGTTAAGCGAGGCTTTGTTTGGAAGGCAAAGCAAAACATTTTGGAATAGTATTTTCACCTGCTCCATTCTTTGCTTTCATACCGGTACCTCTCATCCAATGAAATAAAAAAGCATGAATCTTCGATCGAAATAATTTGCCCATTACTTTCATTTACGAACATTTTACAGATCAGTGCTTGTAGCTGGCTGCTGCCGGGCTTTCGCATTTTTTCAGCTTTACAGATCCTTTCGCTTTTTCTTTTCCGTTCAAATCTGACAGAGTGGGCCGGGAAGTGTTTATACCAAATGCGTGCATGCTTTGACGATGCACATGTTTTTTTCGACAACTGCCGTTTTGCATCTATCCAGTTTCTGAACTTTTCATCTTAGATTATGCCTACTGATGAGAATTTGTGGTGTATTCAGCTCTGCATGGTTTCCGCACGCTCAGTTAAAATCGTATTCGCTTTACCAGGGATGTGATCAAAATGGCTCTGCTAATCAGAATTGCTCTCTCATTCTTCCCTTTTTTGACATTTTTGGGTTCACTTTTTCCTTTTTTTGAAGCAATCTCTTACTGCCAGTCTGAATTCAGTGCTCTTCTGTCGAAATCTTGCACCTCCTTAGGCGAGTTTTTCCCCTCTGGGAAAAAAGTGCTTTGCGTTGCAGCCAATCACTGTCATTTTTTTAATACGTTTTTTGTATCTATGCAATGCAAAAATGCATAATGTCGAGAGGTTGTCTGTCTGTGTGTGTCTGTATGTATGCATGTGTGTGTGTGTGTCTGTAACGAGTTTTCATCTCGAGATCCACAAAAGTCACAGGGCTGAAACTTTGGTAACTTAATCTACACATGCGTGCGGACTTCTTTCCTCAGAATAAACGGTCAGGTCCGCGTAGTTCTTGCGCGCGGGCACGTAGAAGTTTTTTGGCGGGAAAGCGTTTCCGGGAACGACACAAGCTAGAAGGCTGAAACTTCATGGAGGTCTTTCGTGGCAACGTCTAATCCAAAGATTTTAAATTCAGCCTTCACACAGCTCCAGGTTTCACGTACGCACAGGTTAAGTCTAAACCGGCATCATGCCAATTCCAGATTTAAGCTGACCAAGAAATTGTAGAGAGCCGCGATTTTGCAGCGCTACTTGTCACCCACTACTGTGCCCGTGAAAGTAAATTGAGTTTTCCAGCCCTTCTGCATCTTACGTACGGACATGTGAAAATTTCACGCGTGCACTTTTGTAACTTCAGGACTGAAGCAGCTAGGGGACTGGAACTTTCTGAGCATAGCTGACGGTAGCCTCTGACAAGGTGGACGCAAAAACGAATTGCACACCACTTTCAAGTCTCACGTACGTCTCAAGTACACGCACGTGAAATTTGACAAAAATTTCAACCAGAATAGCTGGAGTGCTGAAACTTTCTGAACGCTGCTCAGGGGCGTGTATGAGCAGCCGCACGTGAAGAATTCACGTTGCCACTCACGCACGAACACGTGAATAACGTAACTCCGCAAACAAAGCGTCTAGAATGCTGAATTTTTTGGGCATGGATTGGGAGTCATTGTAATAATTTCTTACAGTCGTGGTGGCTACTTTCAATTCTCTTAGCTAGAAGCATCTCCCGGGAAAAATAGTACCATCAACAGCAAAAATCTGCGGGGGAACTATGCAAAAAAGTATCTTCGCACCGGCAGCCGGTGCGCTTTCAACTAAATTTTATCCTCCCCCACTTGCAGGTAGCTTCTTCCAGAGCTATCCTGCATATCCATCAGGTGGGATAAATTAATCAACTTAAACATATTAAAATAAGTTTGCGCACTGTGAGCGTCATAAAATCGCATCGGGAACTTGGCTTGAGTGCGAAACGGTATGAAAGGTATCTTGACAGTTTCCTGGCAGTTGTTTTGCTCACCTGTCGCTTGACCTCGTTTTGCATGTGTATAGGCAGAATGCATTATCGTCGTTCAATGTTTCTGCTGTCAGGACTACTTCAGCACAACGAAGCGTTTTATCGGATACCGAGCTGATGAGAGTGTATAAATTACAGCAACAACAAGGGTAACTGTGCTTTTTGCTTCTGCTTAATTGACCCATTTCTTTTTACATCACTGTGCGTTTTGTGCATTGTAATAGCTGCACAAAACACATATTGTCATGCCTCTGTCTGCGTGTTTGTTTGTCTGTGTATGTGTGTACGTGTGTGTGTGTGTATGCAGTTGTGCATGTGTGCGTGCCTGTGTGTGTGTTTTTCTGCGTGGATATGCCGAACGCATTTTATTTGAAGTTTTCAACTCAGCAACCACGTAAGTTAGGATGCTGCAATTTTGGGAAAAAACCCCCCGCTTGCGTACGATTCCGCAAGTTTCGACTCGGCCCCAGATTACGCCTCGGATCCACTTACGAACACGTGAAGGCATTTGGGGGGGAGGGAGAGGAGGGAATTTGCCAACTCCAGAACTAAGAAAGCTAGGAGGCTTAAATTTCGGGAGAAGGTCCCCTACCCATGTGCGACCCCGCAAATTTAAATTTAGCCCTTACGTACGCTTAGGTCTCACTAACGGACATGCTAAGGCTTTAACGGGAAATCTGCTGACTTGAAAATCGGACGAGATAGGAAGCTGAAGCTTCAGTAGGTGTTTTCTGACTGTGTGTGAAATCGAAAAATTTAGGTTCAACATCCATGTGCGGCTAGGTCTCGCGTGCGGACACATGAAAGTTTCAGTCGGTCAGAATGTTCTGACAGTTTCTGCACATATCATTTAGTAAAGTAGTGCGCATTTTTTAACAGCAAGTTTCGCTGAATTGAACTGCAGAAAACGTATAGCCGCACCAGCTACCTTGGTGCGCGTCTCTGTTTAATTAATATTTTCATCATGACGACTGTTTGATTGCTGATTACAAAAAAAAAAAAGATTTCTTTGGATGCTGGGTTAAAATTTAATCCCTCAAAATATCCTTTTTGGGGCTAACTGAGTAATTATGCGTTTTGTGCTGCAGCAGTTGCAAAAAACGCACATTGTCGAGATCCTGTCTGAGTTTGTGTTCCGAGTGCATTTTGTTCAGGTGTTTCAACTTGTGGACCAGGGAAGCTAGAAAGCTGAAATTTTAGCATGATGTTTCCCGCTCACGTGTGACCCGCAGACTTAAATTCAGCCTTCACATTCACCCCAGGTACTACATATGGCAGGAGAATTGTTGTCTCGGGAACCACGAGAGGTGGGGAGCTGAAATTTTGTTAGAATGTCCCTCACCTGCGTGCGGACCGCCAAATTTAAATTCAGCCTTCATGTACTTCCCTCTCCGGTATCACGCACGGCCCTGCGAAAGTTTTGGCAGAAAAAATTGTTATCTGGGAAACCACAAAAGCTGGAAAGCTGATATGTTGAGATAATGTTTCCTGCCCTCCTACGATCCAGCAAATTTAAGTTCTCCTAGAATTTCAGCCTCCTAACTTCCGTAGTTTTCGAGGTAATAGTTTTTCCCGCCAAAACTACGGAAGCTAGGAGGCTGAAATTCTAGGGTCAAGTCCCCCTACTTACGTTCGACCCCGTAAATTTAAATTTAGCCTTCCCGTTCGCTTGGTTAAGTATGGCCTCGTGGAAGTCTCGGTCGGAAAAATTACTGTCTTAGGGACACCGAAAGCTAAGGGACTGAAATTTTAGTAATGTCCCTGCATATGTGCAATACCGCAAATTTGAATTCCAGCCTCCCCGTTTGCCTGGGTGCTAGTTACGGTCCCGTGAAAGTTTTGGCGGGGAAAGTTGTTATCTCGGGGATGAGAAGAGCTGGGAGGCCGAAGACTTAGGAGGATGTTTTCTACTTATGTAAGGGTCTAACGAACTCAAATTTAACTCCAAAGCATAGCGAGTTCTTATTTACGACCATTTTAAAGTTTTGGCGCGAAAGTTACTCGGAAGCCAGAGAACTAGGAGATTGAAATTTTGGAACAGTGTTCACTGTCCAAGGTTTCAGATCCGGCCTTCACGTACATTTGTGTTTCATGTACTGGTACGTGAAATTTTTAGTGGGGAATTTTAAAGCTTGGGAACTAAACAGCATGTCGGCTATTTTTTCGCAGATCATGATGTATAACAGCGAAAATTCATAGAAGGCAAGAGTCCGCTGGTCGAAACTGCGCAAAACGCATGATCGCATCGGTTACCCTGGTGCGCTCCACTGTGTTTGTGTTGTGATATGGCACGACTTCTCCTGTAACTTCTTGTGCAATACGCTTAGTAATTCGAACTTTGCACTGGAAAAAAAAACCAGCCTTTGCATTACTTTGTTGGTCCTTCTGGTCAGGAAACTAACTTTTATAGGGAAATTAATACGAAGAATAAATGTTAACTTTATACTTCGGAGAATAAAGAAAGCATAATTTTCATGTAAGAATGGAAGGATGTAACCGGTAATTTCAGGCCTGATACTTCTGCTACTGAAAATGTGGTTCGCCGTCCACTGAAGTCGATAAGGATGGATATTGATCTAAATGAACCATTTGTTGACGAGGAAGTCAAGAAAGAAGAAAAGGCCAAAAGTGGCTTTTTGACTTCATGTTTTGTAACTGGGCAGTTGTAAATATACCACGTCGGGGCGAAACAACAGTTGTGTTACGCAGTGTCCTTGAAGCGCCGCATGAGGAGGGATAAAAACTGTAACGAGGATAAAAACGAAAATGAGGATCAGAATTGGTGGGAAGAGTTAAACAAAATGAAGCAGGAAGTACTGAGATTTTTATCCGAGATGTGTCTGTGAATGTTTTCACGAATCTGTTAACTAAATTCATTGTAATATGTGTTGGTAGTGTAGCGAAATAGGTTTTATATCCAGAATTTCATGAGAATAGACACGGCTAGCAGCGCTTACAAAAATTTTGTTGTTGTGTGGTCATGAAGGAAATAGGCTTTTAAGGCACACTGCACATTACAACTTGTAAAACAGACTGTTGAGCTGTAAACTGTAGATTGCCGAAGTCTATCGAAACACTTTCAGCAGCACCTCGTACATCAGCATCGACAGCATTTACGGTTTCGTTTGATAATGATGAAAGCTCGCCTAAAGCAAATTTATCGCTGCAGGACGCTGCGAAGAAGACCTGCCCAAGGTTAGCATTTTAAATTGCGTTTCATTCTCCTGGTTATAGTCCGTCATCGCAGCATCGGAGAATGTGCTGGGATAGTATCTTATCACAGCATCAACGAATGTACTGGAACTTGGCTCTTTATCACAGCATCAGTTGCAGCTATTCAGGGATCTAATTCCTCGTTATAACATTAAAGGTTTTGTTTGGGTCCGGCTTTTTATCACAGTATGGATAGTTTTGCTGAGGAGTGGCCCTTTGCTCAGAGTATTGAAAAACGAGTTGCTGCTTAACTTTTCATCATATCATCAGAGGTTGTGCTCGGGCTTTTTTCTTAGCGTTGGAGGGTGTGTTTAGAAGCATTTCTGCGCCATGCCAGTTATTCATTTGCCGTGTACTAGTTAGAGTGAGTTTGCTTTTGTTCTTCCGATTGCCTGTAGAAGTTCTTCATATACAGGTCGAGGGCACTCCAGTTTGAAAGCTTTTTCTGTCTTATATTTCGGGAAGTCAGAACTACAGTCTTGTATTTGCTGCTGATAGCGCTTTTATTGGGAGGAGCCATTGTTAGAGCTGTCAGTGGTCCTGGTTTGGTTGATCTTCCATAGATTGCCTGGGGGAATACGCTTGAAACTGTCTATCCGTATGTATTTTAATACTAGTATCACTGTCTTTTGTTGCAGACGTTTCATGAGGCGAAGTGGGCTAGCAGCGGGCGAGTTGGTTTCGAAAGGTGCTGCAGCGAAAATAGCTGGCCTTACAGCTGCATCGAGTGACCCGAAGCAGTACTTGCTCAATAAAATGTTAATGGGGATTGGCGAAGGTTTGCAAATTCGAAATTTTACTTATACTGACTGAAAGTTAATGCATCCAGCGAAGCCCACAACACGGTGCCATTGGATAGATGACGGCCGTAGGTGCCTTGGTAGACATAGTGTCAGCGGGCTGCGCGGTGTTGAAGCGCGCCAAAAGTAACGCTTTGGCAGCATTGTGGCCGTGTGAAGTTGTTGCACTACATGTTCAACCAGAGTTAAATCACTGCTAAACTGTGCAACGGGTGAATGGCCTTATATAGGGATGAGTGGTCTGAAGTATGTGCAATAGGCATGCAGTTACATCCCGTTTCGGTCTTACGCTGAGCTTGCCATGTTGGCTCTTCCAGAGTTACATCTAGTTGCTGTAATGGACTTCGCATCAAGGGTCAGGACGGTGACTTTTAGATAGTTCTGGGCTTGTTACTTTCGACCTTTGGATTAATGCCAAAAACACTTCCACTGTTCTCTAGCTCCCATCATCTGCACATGCCTGAGGTTCTGGAGGCAGTGCAACAAATGCGCGTGTTTGGCTGATAGTTTCGGCACTTTTTGCGAAATCTAAAAATCGTTTCAGAAGGTCCAATGTGTTGTCTTTATACTTTTTATGCCTTTTTGCCCATTTATGCAAATA